TGGCTTGCCTAGCTGACGGAATGAAGGCTAAATATTGGTGACGCTAGCGGCGCCAACATACCGGCCCCCATTGAAATACTGGGGTGTTTCAATAAGAAGAAAAAATGTGAAAAGTTGAAAAATTCCAAAAGAAATATAGAGAAACAAATGTTTTTGAAGAAAAAATTACACTTGAAAGAAAATTATGAGTGCTGATGTTTGCAATTGTTTACTCTATTGGAAGAGGGTAAAGAAATTCGTTTGACGCTCCTAGAAAATTGGAGCCGCAGTCACTCCAGAGGTCTGAAGGCTTCCCTCTGCGGCAGATAAACCGTGCGAGCGCAGCGATGAAGGCGTTAGTGGTAAGATCCGATGTTGTTTCAATGTGTACCGCTTTTGTAGAGAAGCAGGCAAATACACATATGTACGTTTTGACCACTTTTGAATTCCTTAATGTCGACGTGCGGGTTTTGATGGGTACACCGAAGTCCATGCCTGTGCATAGAAAAGCGCGATTTGCGGTGACTCTGTTGACTGGTAAATTGCCCATCAACTGATTGACTGGCTTTGCCTTGAGTTTGAAACAAGGTATGGCCACCCACTCGCATGAGTCCTTGAGTGTCAAGGAATGGACAAAGTCTCTGTATTTGATCACTGCATTCCTTGCCTTTGCGGAGGCTCTTGAGGTCCTCAGCGAAGGCTTCCTTTTGCACTAGCGTGCAAATTTTGTTTTGAGCTGCTGCAATCTCCTCAAGCGATAAGGGTCCATGCAGATTTGACAGAGAGGTATCGATTTTTCTTGCTCTAATGTTGTTGACAAAACGTAGTATGTAGGCCATCACGCGTTTCAGAGAAGGCCACCAGGAGAAGCGCTGGAAGAAATCCCAGGTTGCAGGTTTCTCGTTGAGGTGAAGACTTGTCGCTGATTCTGGTTTCATAGCACCTTTGATGAATTCATCTTCCCGTTTAGTTGGGTCCTTTCTAGAGATAGGCCATTCTGATTTTGGTCCGCTGAGCCATTTTGGGCCGGACCACCACATTTCGGCGTTCATCAGCTCTGCTGGCAGCAAACCTCTAGATGCACAGTCTGCAGCGTTCTCTTCTGATGGTACATGTCTCCAGGACTCAGGTGATACGTTTTCTTGAATCTCAGCAACTCTGTTCCCCTCATAGGTTTTGAGGCGATAAGCCGGAGTTTGGATCCAACCCAGGGCTACGGTGGAGTCCGTGAAGGCGTGGGTTTCTGCGATCTCGAAGTCCTCTGCTAAAATTGATTTTGCATATGCCAAAAGTTTTGACAAGAGGTGAGCTCCATTGAGCTCTAATCGAGGCATGCTTAAGGTTTTGAGGGGTGAAACTCTGTTTTTAGCCATGAATAATCGAACTTTTG